AGGCCCCGGGGCAGACCCAGGACACGCTGGAGAGATTATATCTCTCGGCTGGCCTGGGAACGCCTTGGTGTTCCCCCAGATAAGCTGGAGGAGGTGGCTATGGAGAGGGAGGTCTGGGTCTGACAAAATAAGAAGTGGCAGGCCTAAAAACTGGAAGTCATGTCCACTGGGATTTATAACTACCCTGGTATACCATAACACCATGATATAGCCCGAGTCTAATAGGGATGGCCAAATGCTAAATTTTAAAGTATAAGCAGTTTTTTCCCCATATTATATATCTAGATTTACTATTTCTGACCCTATTCCGGGTCTTTTATGGAATTAATTCTTTTTCTAAGAGCTAGAAATGATCCAAGTTCAAGTTTTGTTTTCTTTAAAGGATACAATGATGTTCCAAGGTCCCAGTCGTAGCCAGTTAGGCCAAAATCCCTTGTAGAGAGCAAAGAAGCCTTCATTCCTCCACGTCTGCATCAGTCCATCCAATGTTCCTTTGTAAATGGGGTTTCCAGACAAAACTCGCTGGTTCATCATTCGAGTTCTGACCACATCTACAGGATTGGAGGCCAGTGCCCCCGCCAAGCCACATGCAAAACTTGAACTGCAGAAAAACACAGAATGCAGATTAACAGCTGTTACAGCTGTTACTGTTACAGCTGTTGCTACTGCACAGCTAAAGACAGACTTTAAGAATAGTTTAAACTTACATGAAATGTGCTAAAATAGTGTCTCCCATGAGGCCGGAACGAAGGAGGTGCTTCTTTGTTATGTCATAGACAGGAAGTTCCACTCCGACAACAATAGCTGCTCGCTGTGCTGTGGGGATGACACCCTGAAGAAGTGAAGGGTGGAGAAAATGAATCAGACTGTGACACACTTACAGTGCAACTCAGTGAACAGAATGAAGCAAGATGGGTGTCTATTTTCCTTGAAGGCATAGAAAAGTTGCTTTTAGGCTTTGTGCTAAACTGTGGATAGATTGGACCAGATTAACTAGACCAGACCTTACTGTAACTTTTATGGCCAAAAACACCTTGACCTAGCTATACAGCGAAATGCAGCACTCACTCTCCACAGCCCTCTGGTGCCCTCTGTCTGGTAGATGTTGATGAAGTTGGACATCATGCTGCCTTGGAGCAGGCTGCCCTGTGCCTGCATTCTGATCTAAAACAAACGGAAACACAAAACAGTTGCTAAACTTTTGGCTCATGGATTAGGTTTAAAAAAAAAAGAAAAAGGATCAACTATAAAGTTACTAGTATTCTGTTTCTGAGCACATGCGTGAGTATTTCTCATCATATCAGTGTCACAACTGCTGTTTAATAAATAATAAAGCAGTGCTTTGATATTGACAGCACACATATTCCAATATCCTAGGGCTTACTGCCAACATTAGTGGTCACCTTGAGAACATCTGTAGGGTTGGCCAAAGAGGATGACAGGACTCCAGACACGACACCGCAGAAGACGTTGATGACCATCGTCTCATCTGTCACAAAATGACACAAATTGAGTCAAGACAGAGCCAAAACCAACCGGCAAACTAACAATTATTAAGATCATCCTATAATTAACTATGAATTGATGTCTAAAGGGTTATTTCTAGAGATAACGTAAATTTTATGAACACTTAATTCTTGCTTTGTGTATCAGTTTTGGTACACTATTGCATCTTCTCTGGGTCTAAACATCAGTGTAATTATTTAGAACACCAACCGAGACAACTCAGTTCAATTATTATTATTTCTTCTTAATGTCTGTAGATTACAGAACAAAGTGTTAATTTTGCAAGGATCCAGTTACTGTATAGTATATACAGTTTAAAATATAAATACATTTTTTTTTAATGCAAACTAACTTAAAGTGTTGACTTTTTGCGACATTAAAAAAACATATTGGCATTATTTTAGGGCCTGTTTTGAAACATCTGTTGAGGAAGAAAAGTTCACTTGTTTTTGCACCTTGTACTTTCAACATCTCACATCAACATCTGATCACAATAAGAAAAATCGACATATCAAAGAATCAACCCTTTTAAATATCTTACATCCTTAAAAA